CTAGGAACAAGAAGCTACTAGGGGCTCCTGGCATCGCTACTAGGAGCGAGGACGCTACTAGGGGCTCCTGGCCTTACTACTTGGGAGCAATTTTCGCTACTATGGGCTCCTGGCATCGCTACTAGGAACAAGGACGCTACTAGGGGCTCCTGGCCTTACTATTAGGAGCAATGTTTGCTACTGTGACCCAATTTAGGTACACATGACTCATGACCGTTTGTGTGCAAAGGAGTTCCAGCTACAGCTACGTGAACACTCCACAACTGTCCTGTCGTCATTGTCCGGCCCTGTCGGTCCTGTCAACCCGTCCAAATGAGCAAACAAATGCAACAAGTGTCTGTGTTTGGTGACTGACTTCCCACAAATGTACCCATCTTTCATTCGGCTTGCCCGCAAATAATTAACATGATCCCATAACATGAGCCTTTTTGAGCGAGCGTTTCGTGAAGATATATTGATGGGGGCGTGTGGTGTGTGGTGCGACCACAGGAATTCTCGATCTGACTGCCAAAGAGGACGCGCAGGTTCGATTTTGCAGTAAGCTACTCGGAGTGGCTGTGAGGCTGCTCATTCTTGCGGTACTTACTGGAACAGCAGGAGTGTTGGAACATCCGGCCGAGGATGAGCTTGATGTGACCCAACCCTCAATCTGGAAGCTGGCCATTTTCAAGATGTTGTTGCGATTTAAGGCGTGCAAACGTGTCCGAGTCCTTCAAGGATACTACGCTGCTCATGCAGTGAAGCCTAGAAATCTCTGCCTTGTGAATGTCAGCGGGAAAGCTGAGGAGATGCTCCTAAGTGCCAGGTGCACTGAGTGGCCACATGTTGCAGCAATAGGCAAGAACACAAACGCGGGGTGGCATGGTACCAGATTAAAGGAGTATCCGCCGGCCTTTTGTGAGATCCTTGCCAGGAATATTTGCAAGAGCCAACCCCGACCCGCGGAATTCGTCCCCATCCCGCAGTAGTTTGTCTGTGTGATGAGCTTACTTCTGCTCTTGATACTGAAGCTACGATGGGGAACGATTACTGTGGGAAAACCACATAATAATAATTACATGCATATGCGGCCACAAAGCGCAAGAGAAAGATGAGAAAAGATGAGAAAAGTAGATTTCGATTTCAACGGACGCTCTCTCCCAGCTTTGTCGCCTTGCCAAAAGCCTTGCAAACTCAATCTCGGAAATTCGATTGTCTCCGTCCTGGTCCGCACCTCAGCATCTCCACGACAAACAGTTCACCAAACAGAAACAATGGTGTGAGATGGAAGACAAACATGTGCATGTTACAGCCAAGGTAAGATTCAAGCGCTTTGCTCGACTGTCTATACTTGAAGCCTCTGCTCTTCGAGTCCAAACTATATTAGGATCTACTGTAATTAAGCTGCTAATGCTTGTTGCCTACCTCCTCACAGCATACCCCTCCCCCCCCGTCCTGCAAAAAGAGAAACGAGTATATAAACGAGTCACATAGTAAGTGCTTGAATGCGTCAACACTTAGCACAGGGGACATCTTTAGCAAAGGTCACATCATAGGTCACCGGAGCTCTTTCCTCTCACCTTCTGATTTTTCGAGAGAGAAATGCAGGGTCATCTGCAAGCGTTTGTAGAACTGCGTTTCAAGCCAACTTGGAGCTTCGGCACATCCTTCCGTGATCATTTCCCAAAGAACATTCTTGGCAAAGTCAACATCGAGCTGTTTTCGCTCCTCAGTGGCAAAGGACTCAGCGAGGAATCGTAAATTCAATTCGGTCAGAACAATCACATTTGAAGCGGCGAAGCGTCAGTCTTGTCCTACCTCCGAAGCTAGTGTTGTTCTTGAATTGGAGACTTTCTGATCCACAACCTTTTGGTCTTGGCAAACAAATCTGGTCGCCTGTCGAACTTGTCCGTGGTTCAGAGGCAAACAAAATCCCTTCTCAACCTTTCCTGTCCAGCCACAAAGGTCGCCACGGTCTTCACTGTCTCCACCAGAATACCTACCTCATCACATCTGTCGCTGGAAAGCTGCTGAAACCAACTCCTGGAATCTCCTGGGTGAGTCCCTCAGATTCAATATTAGGACCTTAGGAACTATTTATTAATTGTTAACCCCTGACACGATCATTTCTTAAGGGAAATGTTTGAGGCATGTATGTCTTGTCTGAATGACATCAATGACAGATTTGGGGTGGAGCCTCCATTGGGTGGCGAAGGACATTTGCTTCATGGTTACTGGAACAGGTTCCTTGAGGTGTAGGCGTTGTGCTCTCCACAGAGTTTATATTTTAGCTGACCCTCTCCTAAAGGAATGACACGAGTTGACACGAGTATTCTGTTTCCTTTAGCCCGCTCCTACTAAGTAGGCACCTACTTAATGAAGTGGGGGAGTTCGCTCCTAGCTAGGAGCAGGATAGCTCACGCTTCTTCAAGGAAGCTCCCCGCCTAGGGCGAGGGGGAGCTTCCTTGAAGAAGCGCTCGCACTAATCATGTGGTTCCATGTGGTTCCTAGATTTTTGGAGCACTGGCTACGGCAATGGATGAGCACTTCTGTAAGGATAAAGTAGTATATGCAGCACTGCTTTTGTCCATTCCAGTTGTGCCTACATAGTGAAGCGAACATGCTGCAATCACGTAGCACTGTGGATGCGACCTCACCTGCTGGTTTGCAACAACCCTTCATGTGTGTATATAATAAATTTGTGTGTTTCCTGGATATATTTATATACAGACAGTAGATACAGTACATTATAATACATTTATATGTAGTATATGCATCTCTGTTTAGCCGAATTGCTAAAAGGCCCATCATGATGTAGGTACCAAACATGATGAAGGTCAGCCACAGAACTCCTGGCGGTGCAAGGCAATGAAAACCCCAGCACTGCCGCGGCGCCTGCGTTGATTACCTGCGTTGATGTATGTGCCACCGCATGGACGGCATGGACTGAAGGGTAGTTTGTTCATGTGCGTTGTCCAGTCTTGGGAGACGCTCACTTGGCTTGCCTATTCTGCCACACAACAAAATGGCATTAAAATATATTAAAACCATGCTGAACATCCGAGGCTGCTCCAATGTTGCAGATATCCTACTGAAACGTATATGGATGTTCCGTGAGAATTTGCAGACCTTCCAGATACATCCCAAATACTGTACATGCTTTGTCTCAACTCATGCGAGATTCACGTCTACGCATCTACGTTTTGGTGTTGCACATCTCAATGATAGAGCCAATCCGAAAGCCAAGAGGCTGCACGCTTCTGTTTTGCTATGCTTTTGGGGCAAACATCCTGAAAATCCAACTTGCGGGGTCAAAAGCCGTGGCCAACTCCAACCCTCCCGGGTTTGTTTCATCTTCGAACGCTCCTATGAACCAGTTCTCTGCCTCGGCTGCTTTCGGCCAGCAAGGCGACACGGCTGCTGGTGATCTACGTTATATTATATAAGTGGAATAAGTCCCAAATCAACATGCTAGTAGCAACAAGCTAACAAGCTTCTTGCTACTAGTACAAATGCCATTGTTACTAGTAGCTTCTTGTTCCTGATAGTAATGCCAGGAGGTACTAGTAGCTTCTTGCTACTAGTAGAAACGCCCTTGTTGATTGGGTGTAAAAAAATACGTATCCAAGATGTAACAACAACAACAATAACAACAACAACATTGATACACATCTTAAAAAATAATGATAAAACATCACGATCATCCCGTCAGATCTTAGATAATTCTCGTCAGTTATACATACTATATCATACTATATCACAGTTCTGAGATGTTCTGAGTGTCTTTCTATCTTTTCATCCTGTTTCATCCTTATGACCCCGCCATGCCGAGGTACTGCTGCATCCTTGAACTTGGCCTCGAGGTCCGGCATGACGCATTGCACAATCAGAGTTAGAATTGTGCCGCCCATCCCAGGAAACCTGCCGCTGCGGTCGAGGTCATTGATGGAAACAAGATCTGCGAAACCAGAGCTGCCAAAGGTGCCAACAAGGGAACTCAAAAGGGAGTATTGACCAGACAGAAACTTAGTGTCAAGGGAGGAAACCTTGAAAATCATTGCTTTTAGATTCTCTCTCTCTCTATATATATACAGTATATACAGTCTAATTATGCTTGTTCTCTGACTGAAGATTCCCGAGATTCCCACTTGAGCTATGCAATTTGGTGAAATACGCAACATCAAACAAACTCACAGAGCCTAAGCCCTGAGCATAGCATCTAGTTTCCAGTTCATCGTAACAATCACGCATGTGTGCAGCTCCGGGGCGTTGTTTGCAGCTTGGGCAATGCATTACACACGATTTCATACAAACCCCGGCTTCAACATCAATCTGTCGTTGCCATCTTGAGGAGTCCAAGCAAACCTCTTGCAGAGGTTCTGAAACCAATATCATATTAAGAAATTAATAGAATTTAGATAATGTATGATAGATGAACATGACGTAGTTAAATCCTGCTTGCCGAGAATCAAATCCGTCTCCAAAGAGGTACCGCGGCTCACTTCTGTGATCGTTATGCTGAATACATAGGTGACCAAAACAAGGAGTACCAACGTGAAGAAGACTGATCGACAAGCCTGGCGTTGGTGCTGAGGGCAGAACACCTCAACACCTCAACACTGGCTGAAAAATGATAAAAGCCCAACATGTGCTTGGACAAACATGAAAAGCACATGGGGAAAAGAACCTCACCGTGCCAGGAAACGGACATCATTCCTTTCAGGAGAATCACCAATTCAGGCACATATCGTACCAGCTTGGCGATCCGCGCAGTCCGCAGGATCCGCATCACCCGCGCGATCCGCAGGATGGACGAGGTCTCTGCCAGATCGGAGCCATCACCTGCGCCGCTGTCGATGAAAAGAGAATGCATGGGCCCATGGGAATTGAAGTGCCCTTTGCTCTTAGTAGCGTCCTTGCTCCTAGTAGTAAGGCCAGGAGCCCCTAGTAGCGTCCTTGCTCCTAGTAGTAAGGCCAGGAGCCCCTAGTAGCGTCCTTGCTCCTAGTAGTAAGGCCAGGAGCCCCTAGTCGCGTCCTTGCTCCTAGTAGTAAGGCCAGGAGCACCTAGTAGCTTCTTGCTCCTAGTAGCGATGCCCTTTGCTCCTAGTAGCGAATCTTCAATCTTCATGTTCAGAAAGACAGTTTGGAACTCCAAAAGAATCTGTATCCGAGCAAGAATGTCTAAAAATAAAGCTCTCCCAGCTTCCATCGAAAGTAGGCTAGGGCCATTTGAAGGAATAACTATATACTATATATACCCTTCACTTCTCAAGGTCTGCCAGTCTATCACTGACTGATTAGTCTGATTTTTGTACGGGCCCCGGTTAGCATCTGACCACAAACTCCTGTGCAAATTGCTCGGCATACACGCACACCTGAGATAAGATCAATGAGAGGCATGACCCAGGACTCCAGCATCATCATAGACACCAGAATCAAGTCGAACAAAAAGGCTGGATCTCTCAACGACACCAAGCAGGATCGGAAAGCCAGGAAGCGGATCAGCAGCTCCGACAAGAAAAGGACACCTTGGGTCTGAAACGTACTCTGGTATACTCTGGTAGATCGTTCTCCCACCAAAGGGGGTCGGTTCAATCCCCGAAGTCCTTTCTTAGATATTCTTATAAACATGCTCCAAGAACCTTCACACAAGTCGGTGGAGATGAGTGAACCATCTATTTAAGATTCAGAATGGCCTGGTTTGACTAGGGTTAGCATGGGTTAGCCAAGTACATTCAGTGAGAAGGAACTTCGACATTGGCTTCTCACATCAACACTCAAATCCATGCTGGTGAAGAGTGCCCTGAAAGGCAAATCAACCATTGCCAGGGCGCAAAACATGTTGTCTATGACAATGAATCCTGGAGATGCACGGGTGACAATCCCTGAATAGTTGAACTCAACATCAATGGAGATATAGATCACGTTGGACAAGGTTAGAAGCATTGCAGCTCGCTCAAACCAGCGGTGCCGCACGATCCTCTCACATGTCGTGGGGGTCTCAGTGATCACATCAATGTCTGATCCATACCTCGGACAATCGTCTCGATCACAACCGGTAAGACGAGTTTCTTTTTAAGCCCGTGGGGCCCCCTCCCTCCCTCTCTCCTTGTTTAATTAAGTAGGCGCCTACTTGATTGTAAGGGCGACTAGTTTGCTACTAGGAGAAGTTGGCTCCTAGCTAGGACGCAGGATAGCTCACGCACTAATCTAATGATTTGGTTCCTAGATTTTTAGGGAAACTAAAAGATCTGCGTAAGCTCGGACACTCTGAGATGCTTTCTTTGACACAAGTGAAAACAATACTGGAGTTGGACTGGACACCCAATGAAGGCGCTTTCTGCGACAACTTGCTCGGCGTGTTCCACTGTAAGTGTGGCGAACCTCGGATGCGTGGGGCTCGAGGCTAGGCAGCAAGCGGTGTCAACCTGGAAAAGGTCGAACGATCGGTAGAGTGATGGTCTCCACCCTAGGAGCTTCTAGCTACTAGTACAGTAGTAAGAATGCTCCTAGTAGCGAGGCCAGGAGCCCCTAGTAGCGTCCTTGCTCCTAGTAGTAAGGCCAGGAGCCCCTAGTAGCTTCTTGCTACTAGTAGCGATGGCCTCCAACTAAATGTCGAAATGGTCCACAGTATGTCACAGTTGGTCCCTTCGGTTCTTCACTCCAAGCTACAGCACAAATCCACGGCAGAAATTACGGCTGATGTGGATGTGGTTTGATTCAGTTCACAGCTGATGTCAACCGGGCCATCCAACTGGCTTCTGATGGCTTCTGGTGGGGCTTGGGTGGCTAGCCACTGGAAAACACCTGGCAAACTTCATGATCCTTAACGGTCTTTTGCACGTATGTAGTGGGCGAACTCTAGTCAGCTTGGGAGAAGCTTGTGAGACAGTGAGATATGAACGTCAACACTCTCAAAGCACACTTCCTCTGGCAGAGCTTGGGCGCCTTCACGATGTCTTCGGGAGTAGCCAGAAAATACATATACATTTGTATAGCTACAGTAAATCAAATGGGTGTGGGTCAAGACCCTGGACCCCGGTCGACCACCCACAATGAACAAACTACCCTCAAGGTCAACCTGCGGTGTTTTTTGGTGCGTGTCAGGTTTTGACCCACAGCCAAAAGGTACACCACCTAATTCAACATTCCATAGAAATGGGTTCAGTGCCATTCAAGCCCATAAAAGAAACGACCAAAACCAGCAATGATGAATTGGCGGAGAGGTTGCGGCCTAGTTGAATGGCCAAAACAGGCTCACACTCTGCTGTAAGGGAGAACCACATTGTTACCTTGCCATCAACCAGCAGTTCTGGTAAATATGGTAAATGTCTTAAAAGGAGCGGGCTGACAATATGTTCTGTTCCAACATTGGTTCACAAAGGTGGAATCCTTCTTTCAGCATGCAATGGGACCAAGGCAGGGCGAAGGGAGAAAAAAGGCTGTGCTGTGAGTCAGGCGCAGTACATTTACAAGAAGGATCAAGCTAGCTTGAATCAGGAAAGCCCTTTTATCTAACACCCATTTATCAAGCCATGGTAGGGTTCTCTTAAAGGAAGGTACGGTGATTTGATAAAGACAGAAGATGAGAGCTAGTAACTAGTACTAAATCTACATGCCGATGCGGTCTTTTATACTGAGATGAAGAGACACACACATGAAGTGCACAGCATGGGGTGACACGGGGGTATTGAATTGTCGTTCACTTGTTAACCTCTCCAGCAGAAAAACACAGTAAGCTTTGCAGTCAGCATGGGATTGCTCCTACTTACCTGCAAAATCAGCAACCACCGGAATACGACAACATCGCAAACCTTTCCTATGGTCTTCAGTGCGTCAAGTGACACTCCGGAATTCTCGAAGCGTCTTCTTGCTTCCTATACGTGCGGCTGGAATGAAGAGGGGAAAGGTACCGGCCAAATAATCGGGCATTCCGGAAACACTCCCTCTGTCACCCGGCAAATAACTTGGCCCTTGTCAGTTGGTTGGAAAATCAGCAGCAGCTTACATTTCGATGGCTCCTAAAGCTGCCAGGCATATGCATCTGTGCAGCAATCTTCTTGTTCTTCGAGAAAGCCGCAGTCGAGATTCCACAAATACACACAGACCGAGTGTGGTTCGGTGGTTTGCTCTAAGCTCAATAACAAACACTCTGACTCAGAAACAAGGAACCATACCTAATCCTGCTGAAATTTGATGCAACACACTTGTGGGCCGTTCAAGTAGATGGCCGGTCAACCAAATGCAAAGCCCGACTGGAGTGGAAGGAAGCACCACCCAGGCGGCAGGCACAATATGCAACATGCTGCCTCACAAAAGGCCCCCCAAAACAACGCAACCTTCGCTACTAGGAGCAAGGACGCTACTAGGGGCTCCTGGCCTTACTACTAGGAGCAAGGTTGCTACTAGGAGCAAAGGGCATCGCTACTAGGAGCAAGGACGCTACGATACAACCAGCTTCACCCGAGGCTTGAAGGCAGGGATAGCATCGGATAACATGACCAGAAACCAAGAGCCAGGAGAATCAATAGACGTAGGTAACACCAGGCCCTTGGCACGGGCTGGGGCGTGTGTCGGGAATGTAGCGAGCGTTAAAACACTATATAAATGGACAGTTCATTGCATCTATATAGAGATATTGTTGGGGACACTGTCTTCCAACATCTCAACAAATTTTCTATGTCTGCCCCTTGACCCTCAAGAGTGCCTCTGGTCAACAATTATGGTTTCCTCTTGCTTTTGATGTTGGTTTCAACGGGTGTCCTTGGCCGCCACATGCTTGGACTGTCGCGACAAAGAAGCAACCCCTGGAGCATGGGATTCATAGGTCTCATCGATCAAGCTGACTCTGGCGTTCCTAGGTCTCTCCAAGAAGTCGAAATGGGAGCTGGACACGTTGGTTCAGAAACCATCTTTGATATTCAAGTACAGTACACGTGTTCCACCTGTTGTGAAGCCATTCTCAAAATAAAAATGCAGGCAAGATATCATCAAGATATCAGCCAACAAACCGTTTCGTAGATGTTATTGGATCTGGTGCACCCAAACGACCCAAAATTACGTGATGCTGCAGGTCCTGGTCATCTGCGTAGTATGGTGTCAACACAAAAGGCCCACTGAAAGCTGCAAAACTGGAGGCCTTCACTCAGAACCATCCGATGACCCTGGTAGGCTCTAGTAGCGCAGCCAAGATTCTTTTGAATCCACACCTTAGAACCAACAACCAACACCTTCAGCATCATTTACAACCTTCCTGCCGGAAAACACATTGGACATTCCCACGGGTGCTCCAGTATGCCTCCTGAATACAAGACATGAAGGAAACAACAATACACACAGGAGAACATCTAGCTCAAGCTGATTTGGTTCCAGCATGCAATATTCAAATTGAAGGACCGCCGTGTTTCTCAGTCGAGGTGTACGATCTCCATCGGAAAGTGGAATCAATCAAACATCCGCTGAAGGGTTGTGGGCATCTCCAGTCCAAGGCTTGGTGCCCAAGTGTGACCAATGAATCTCACACAAGACCGACATGTCAAAAGTTAGGTTTGCCTGGAAGCAAATCAACAGTGCGAAGGGTTCTTGAGGGAAGCTTCTCCAGGCAGGGAGAGCTTCCTGAAGAAGCCGTCACCCTTCTGCATCCCTGTCTTCAATTATGTACTAGCTTCTGAAGCGACAACAGTGTTCCTTCCTTCCTTCCTTCCTTCCTTCCTTGGACAAACCCAACCAAGAAACACATAGTTATAAATATATATGTATATATTATGTATAATATACATTATGCATTCGACTGAGGCCTTTGGCCTTGGCACCAAGAGGCAACCACGCAACTCCACACCATCCGACTCTCATAAATTGGGCTCCACACCACAAGAGCACTGCACGGGCAAGAAAAACACGTCAACACATGACATGTTCACCCCGAAACATCAAGTGCATAGTGCAACCATACCATTCCACCTGTCACATCAAAATTATATGGTGTTTTGAAGTGGGTTCGGCGTGCCCTTTCGGAAGTAAGTACTCAGGTTGTCGGGTCAATTAGGTTGATGAATTGGATTGACAATGATGGATAAGGTACGGTCTACAGTATTTCGGAATCAGGAGTCTACAGTATCTATTGATTTCAAATTCCGAACCAGGTGATTCAAATCGCCAGAGAACAACATGCTAGGGTGGCCTTCATTTTCTTTGGAACCTTGCTTCTACCCCCAAAACAAAAGCACTTTTCTTCCTTCTACCGCGACACCACATTCTTCTTCCGCTTTTCGTCCACACCGTTGAGCGCTGTGAAGGTGTCGGTTACTTGGCGCTTGATCTGCGGCTTCTGGCCTCACCGAGCTAAATGAACACGTGACTTAGATATATTTAAAGCATGAATTGTTTTTTTTTGCCCGATGCCCAGCCTTCCCACTTGATTAAGTAGGCGCCTACTTAAATAAGTAAGCTACTAGCTACTCTACATATGGACGCAGGATAGCTCACACTTCTTCAAGGAAGCTGCCCCCGCCTGAGGGCGGGAAGGAGCTTCCTTGAAGAAGTGCTCGCACTAATGATTTGGTTCCTAGATTTTTAGGGCAGTTTAGGAAAGGCAGTGTTCGCCAGCAGACCTATATAGTTTTGCACTCCACAGCTTTTCTTGCAAGGGTCAACAGTCAACATTTCTTTCATTCATCGCCCCTGCTGATTCCATTTCAACACGCAGGGTTTACCGAGGAATCAGATACAACAGAAGAAACTGAACGGCCAAATTCCATGGAACACCCATAATCCTAGTCTCACCTGGTGCAAGTTCCTCATCACTCTCTTCTTCTTCACTTCCAATTGCAGGAAGAGGCCTTAAGCGGGCAAGCTCACACGGATTCAGTCTGGTATTGGAGGTTCTAACTTTGTCTCACTAAGATGAAGTGCTTGCACTCATTTGTGGCTCCTGAATATAGTATTATGTTGCATCAATGGGCACTAATTTCGTGGCTCATTCAGGGTGTTTGCCATGATTTTCTTGCCGATTCTTCTGGATACATTGTGTAGATCGGGCGGAACGATCAAGCACTTTTCGCCATTGCATCAGAGCTCAAGGCGCCTGTCGTGAGGCGGAGGTTAAGGCCCGGGCCAAAAGGATCAAGCGGATCCAGAGGTGAGTGCAGTGGGGACATGCCGACATGTATGTGGTTTCACATCCTTCGGGGGTTCTCATCCCACTTCACTCTCCTCTTTCACCAAACTGTACTGGCCCTCTTTCAAAGCCTTGCGAAGTAGGACGCTATTGCCCAATCGCTTGGTCAAACAGTCGGCCAACATGCGATGGCCTGGAACCCAAAAGGTTTTCACCCTCAGCAGCCGCGCGGAGATGCAGATGACGGACACGTCGATCTGAGCCCGTCTGCACTGCCCTGCATTGCCCGAGCGACGACTGAGGAGGTCGTAGAGTGCTTTGGCGTCGGTGACGTGAGCTCCAGTGCACTCATCCACAATGCGCACTGCAGCCACATCTTCTTCTTCTTCTTTCTCGGGGAGCCGAACCACCATGAGCGACTCATTGTCGCCGAGCCGCGTCCCATCAAGGACGTTGGTGGCAGGGTCCAAAACTTCATGCCATAGGGCCCGGATCCATTCCACCTCAGCTAAGGCGTCGTCCATGGCCAAGGCCTCAGAGCCTAAGGTGGCTTTGACCACCCTCTTCAGCTTGTGACTGCGCCAGCTGTTCAGGCTGAAAGGTGCTTTCTTTCCCTCCATGATGGACTTGTGCGTGAGGGCGAGCAAGAAGCCTCCTTGACTTTTATTCTCCACGTTGGCCATGGAAGCGTCAGCTATGGTCAACCACAGGCTCTCTTCTGGTGCTATTGGCAGCACTCGGATGTACACATCCATGGTGGACTTCAATTCAGCCACGGTCTTGTTCGCCATGAGGATGTGCTCCACTGTCGGTCCGGTGCTTGGCCATGACATTGACATTGCACAGGCTGCAGCTACATCAGGTCTTCCCTCCTTGCCAACCCATAGCAAAGAGCCACCCACTCCTCTCAGCCAGCTGATCTCCTTCTCGTCGAGGAGTGCCTCCTTCTGCTTTTGGCGGTCCTTGGTCAGCGCCACTGGACGTAGTTTTTCTTCAATATACCGCTTCATGCTGACCTGGATCTCGAAGCTGGTGAGTTGCTTCAGGGTGCGACCAATGTACTCGGCTGAGGACTGGTAGACGTCCTTCCACTTGCCAAATTTCAGCTTCGTGCGCAGCTGTGACATCAGTTCATGATGCCTTTCATTTCCTCCCTGGCAGAAGTCATCAACATCCAGGAGAACCACACCAGCCACATACAGCTTCTTGTCCTGGAGCTCTTCTGAAGTAGGCCGGAGGTAGTAGAGGCATGGGTCGAAAACACTCTCCATGTAGCCTAAGGACAGGAGAAGCCGGCGAATGGTTCGCCTCCAAACTGCTGGTGCGTTGACAAGGCCATAGACGGCGGTGCGCGCACGAATGATGGCGTTTGCAGCATAGCCAGGAATGCCTGTTGGTGGCATAGATGCAAACAAAGGTCCCTGCTCTCGCTCCACTGGGTCGCTTTGACCGAATGCAGAACTGACATCCATGATGAACAGGTGGTACTTCAGCGATGTGAGCACTTGCAGAGTCAACATGACTGTTGTGCTTGAAGGTGTAGGTGCAAAGCGCTCAAGCTGAAGGCTGTCAGGATCACGGTGGCCAAGCAAGATCCATCTTGCTTTCGCTTTCCAGTCTTCTCCAGTCTCTCCAGCCTTCTTTGTGATGATGAATCGGCTGGGCATGATCCTGTGTGAGTACTTGTCGTGCACCCACTGGATCTCTTCCTTGGTGGTGATCATCTCGATGGCGTTGGAGCCGAGGAGATTGTCAATCTCTTTGGTCTTGGCCTCTGCAAAGAGCTTCTTTTCAACTTCATTCAACTTTCTCTCATTGAGCTCCTTGCCACTTTGTTTGGTGAGGTAGGCCAATGATGACTCCTCTTGGAGGTAGGAGTTGTAGTAGCAGTCGCTCTTGCTAATCTTGTAGAAGACTTGGAGGTCACGGTTGTTGGCAATGACGGGGTAGTTCTTCTTGTTGCCCCATTCAGTGGTGTCATCACCATGCCAATGGCCAAAGACCTTGGACCTGTTCACAACTCGGTCATCAGGAGCAGGTGCTTCGAGGCTTCTCTTCATGCCTTCAACCAAGCGTGCATCTTCTTCTGGAGGCTTGGAGCGATCTGGAGTCTCCTGCGGACCTTCCACAGGCTCTTTGAAGCTTTTGCCAGGGTCAGGATGACCAGGCATGACCTTGTAGATGAGGATGGTCTCGATGCTCCGCACTCCTTCCGGCAATTTCTCGTGGGCTTTGTGGACAGACATCTCAGGGGTGATGGCGATGTCCTGAATCACCTTGTTGGAGTCGATGTCAATCGTGACTCGCCTGACCACATCATGCCACAAAGGTCCTTTGCTGTTCGAGCCACGGTATCTTTTGGCATCAAGGTCATGTCTGACCCACATCTTCAACTCAGGTGGTTGCGCCGGTGGCTCTTCAGCATGTTCTTCTTGCCGGGCACGCTGACTTTCCACTGTGGCCTTCCACAGCTCATCTGCTTCTGTCTGCTCTGCTGCTGCCGGTGGTTTGTTTTCTGCTGCTGCCGATGCTGGTGTTGCGTGGCTTGTTTTGTCTTGTACTTCATGAGGTTTGCCTGAGGTTAAATCATCTTGAATCACAATTGGAGTTGTGGTTCTTGGTGATCGTGTTCGATCTCGGCTGCCTCTGCTTGCTGTGGGCTGCTCTGCCGGTCTCGGTGTCTGTGGGACTGGAGGTGGTGTCATAGGTGCCGGTGTCGAAGGATTGGGTGTTCTCAATCCTTCGGGGTGTCCCTTGGGTGTTCCTGGAATCCTCCGATAGACTGTGTGAGGATCCAGTGGTTTCTTCTGCCGTGCAGGTGGTGTTGCTTGCCGTGCAGGTTCTGGTGCTACTTGCGGTGGAGGTGGTGCTGCTTGTGGGGCTATGTACTCCACTTCATCATCAACTGTCTCTGGGGGTTCGCCTTCCTTAGTGACATCAACGAATCCCAGTTATAGCGAAGCCTTTCCTTGGCTCTCAAGAGGTGAGCTGCAACCACTTCAATGCCCTGCTTCTCGGCATTGCTCATCTCGAAGATCTGGGACCGGTTGCACTTCCAGAGTTCGCCCCTCCGAGTCACCCATACGGTGTCACCTTTCTGCAAAACAACAAAACATGGTCCCACCTTGGCAGTGGCACCACGTCGCCCTTGCCGCCATACAGCGACGGGATCACCTTCTTGGAATTGGTGACTGTCTCGTGCTCTGCGAGGACGGGCACGAACAGCTCTGTTGAGGCGAGCTTTGGAGTCAGTCTCCATGAGGGCTTTCCTTGCTGCCTTGCGCATCTCTTCAGCTCTGGTCCACGCTCCATCGGCCGTCATGCTATACTCAAACTCGCGGCCATCAGAAAGATGATCCATGCCCAGGTTGGGTTGTTTGCCGAGGACTCGCTGGGCAGGTGAGTATCCAGAGCGGTTCGTGAGTGTCTGGAGAGCCCATGAGACTTCATGCACCAGGTTGCAGACTTCATCCATGGTGGTCGGCTGCATCATCTCTCTGGTGCGATAGTAGACTTCTTTGAACAGGCCTCCACGTCGCTCTGTGACTCCGTTTTGGTATGGAGCGTCTCTGTCAATGAGGATGGGCTGGATGCCATGTGACTCAAGCTGCTCCACGAAGTAGCCTTGGAATTCAAGACCTTGGTCCATGATGAGAAATGCTGGAGCGCCAAAGGTCCTGAGCCACTTGTCCAGAAAGGTGTTCCAAACCAGCTCAGATCCTCGTCTGTTTGGGTCAACCAGACTGAAGGTGGAGTAGAGAGTTCCCAAACAGGTGACGTTCATCACCGGGTGCTCGGCTTCAGAATGACAAATGCCGTGCGCAAACAGCAGGTCAATGCCGATGACAATGTTGAAGTCATAGGTTCTGGGCGTGGATGCTGGCAATCTTGTTGGCTGCTTCTTTTCTCTTCGGCATCCATCGCAAGAAAACTCTTGTAGTACATATTGAATCACATCAGGTCGTGTGCCAGCTGCTCGAAGTAGGCGAACAAACTCCTTGAGTCCAGGATGACCCAAGTTCACATGTGCTCGGAGGACCATCTGCTTCTCCGCCGCGGAGAGAGTTGAAGCTTCAGCAAATGTCCATGTCAACTCCGGGTGGTGGTAGAGCACAACGAGGTATGGATAGTTCACCTCGAGCTTTGGCGTCTTGCCGCTGGATGCTTGTTCCAGTTGAAGCCATTTGCCATCAACCACTCCCTTCGCCCAGGTCCATCGCAAAATGCGGTGTCCAGGACCACGAACTGGTAGTTCTTGGTGTTGTGGATTCTTCAGCACCAAAATCGCACTGTCATGGAAGGTGCGCCACTGAAGATGTTCTCTTGGGCGTAGCTCTTGTACCCATTGTTCAAGATCTCCTCGATCTGGCATATGGCTGGGTTTGCCGCATTGTGATTTCGTCCAGCTTTCAATCAGGCCATCGATGATTGCTTGGACCAATGCTGGAGAATATTCTTGTGCCAGTTGAGGTAGACCTGACATCAACTGTTCATGTGGCTCAGAGCAGTTGCATAGTCGCTGGAGGTTCTTGGCAATGCAATCGTTCGTAGTGGCGAACAACGTTGCCTTTTTGTTAAGTCCTCCAGTTCCAACTCTCAGGCCAAAGCGGCATAGGTGGGACTTCACTAACAGCACCTGGTCATGGGACAGGAAGTGTCTCACCGTTGGAAGGAGCCATGAAGTGGCCGTGTGTGGATGTTCATGTAGTGAGTCGCCTTCACGCTGAATCTGATCTTCTTGAAGCTCCATGGAGTAGTTCACGTGAAGCATGGCCTCTGGCAACTCCGTCTCAAGCCGTTGAGGATAAGGCCTGAGGTTTTGCAATGGTGAGAACTTCGTGCATGGCGGTGTAGTCGTCAGCAATTTGGGTCTCCGCCGATGCAACTCTTCTTTGAGCCAGGTTCGCTGTTGCTTGTCCTTGAGGTCAAATCCAGTCATGAGGTCGACTGAAAGGTTTGCTCTGAGTCCACGTTTGGCGGCTTCCTCCACCAGTCTTGGTGGGCTGTAGATCTCGACCACGGCGTCGTGCTCGGTCGGAAGGCCACCAAAGACCTCGGCGATGTCATCAGGTTCTTGTTCCTCCCATAGAGTCCAGTAGGCTCCATAGTTGGGAAGGAGATCATCCAGGCTTTTCATCAGGTCATTCTTAGTCGTCTTGGCCAGGGTGATCTCTTGCTCATAGAGCTCGGTGTCGTTGACAGAGCCGATGAAGTCCTTGGTGAATTCATAGAGTGTCAGAAAGGAGACGGAAGCCCCCAAACTGTAATCCTCGCCAGGAATCTGTGTCACGTGGACAGCATTCCATTGGCTACCATTTTTCGTCATCACGATCTTGCGACTCAGAACCTCTCGAGTGAGCACTGGTGCAACTCCACGAGAAACATCACCACATGATGTGGCTACATAGGTGTGGTTCTGGTCGATGTCCAGGGTCATAGCCAGCTCTTGAAAATGCTGGTCATCTTGCAGCGAGGGTAGATGCTTCAGCCAACCATTCAGTTGGAGAGGAGATTCACGTTGAAGCGGCCAATCTTGGCATAGGCCGTTGGCATCTCGAAGAGATAGGCTGCCAAGTTGCAATTCTCGTCCATGCACTGGATCTCCTCGTTCTCGGCCTCGTCTCCCGGGGCAATCTGAAGCATCTCCTTGCTCTGGCATCGTGGGCAAATCAGTACTCCCACTGCCGGTTTGACTGATTCCTCCAATTGTCCCCAATGATGTGGACAGTTGGGGTTGTCGCACTTCCAAAGCAGGTGCATCGATGGGCTGTGGCGATGGAGTACCACTTCGCCCTGGTGACAGGTGTCGCAGGACTGGGACAATGCCTCGTGCAGGAGCATCTCGAGAGCCGCATGAGGATCTCCGATCATCGCTGGCTCCACTGCTTCGTTTCCATGGCGGAGGATCTGGTTGGCTACTACGTCGTGCCATGAATCCGCTCCCACAAAGTCCTGGTCCATCGGTGCAATCTCCTCCTCCTTGACTCGCCTGGGTGGCGCGAATGGCTGAACTCTCGTCTTGCAGGCGGTTCTCCGTGTTGACATAGTCGACACTGTCGGAGTCGTCAAAGGAGAATGTTTGTCTTGTTGCCCCCGTGAACTCGCTGATGCTGTCTCCTGCTTGGATCCCTTGGCCTTGCTCTTGGCTGCAGTCTTCTGGTAAAAGGGGTCCGGGATGTAGCACAGGGTGTTGTTCCAACTGTGCAATTCCGTGACGGGCGTCAGCGGCATGGTCTGGCGTTGTTTGCACTCGGTGCACTCGTGGTAACTCATGAGGCGGTTGGCACCGTGCTTGCTCATGTGATGGCTGCACATAGGAGACGGCTCCAGTGCAGGCACCAGGTATTTGCCATTGCCCTTGACCATTGCCAGAGGTCGTACACGATCCTCTCGACGTGCCATCGTCAAAGTTCCGGCATTCATCACTGCCGGGGATGAAGTCTTGGCTTGTGCCAGCACTCTTTGTTCTTCCTGAGCCAGCTGCAAAGCTTGCTCCTCCAAGCGTTGGCGTCGTTGTTGAAGACGGCGTGCTTCGCGAAGTTGAGGTGATCGAAGCACTTCTTGGAAGACCTGCCATGCTTGGAGTGCTGCCGAGGAAAACCAGCGCAGCAACAAGCGGCGCCAGCGCGCCCACCGCTGAGAGGCTGTGGGCATCCAATGACCAGTCGACTGGCCAAGGAACCGTGGCCCAGTCAGGAACGGGCTCAACTGACCAGGCTTGGCTTTCGGAAGCTGCGAAGTTCGCTGGGACGTTGAAGCCACTCTTACCAAAATCAACTATTGAGACTGCAACATGTCCGGTGGCCAAACGTTTCATGTGTTGACTCGTGCCAAGCTTGGTGTACACAATGTATGAATGCTCCATGTCAATGACTGCACCCACGCTGGTGAGGAAGTATGCGGGCAAGAGGAAGGGGATGTTTCCAGGCACAACCTGAACCCGTAAAACTCCAGAACGTTGACCAATACCAATGGGCACATATGCTATTGAAGTTGTCTCCTCTTGTCCACATACTCCACGAACGCTGCCCCCGGCTTCATGAGACCATTGAACTTGTAAACCATGGTGCTCTTGCAACAGGTGGTCATGACGAAGAAGGGTTTCCTTTCCAACTAAACCATGCTGGGCTGCCGTATCAACAAGTGCTGTACCCTCATCTTCATGAACTGCAAGAAAACAAAACGTCAAAGCTGCAAAGTCGGCCGGCATGTATTCTCCACCAAACTTGGCTTCAGAGCTCTTGGTGAGAAAGCTACTGCCACCTGCCAAAGTGGTTGCAGGTGGTTGAACAAAGAATCCGGTGCTCATGCCGGCAGCGCTCAAGCCCGTTGTTGAACTCGAGCTTCGTGAAGTAGGCGATGCATGCTTTGATCGATGAGGGCATTCCTTACTCCAATGACCAACCTGTTTGCATTGGTGGCATCTCGTTTTGGCCTTCAGCTCGGAGAGGGTGAGCTTGGAACCACTGCGGTGCATCCAAGGCTTGTCATAGCCTCGGCCATTGCGACTTGCTTGAAGCAGTCGCCGGTGCTCGAGATAGCCACCACCTTTGCCATGTCCAAAGCTGGGCGGACTGCCCATGCCATAGGTCTTGCTGCTGGGGCTCTTGCCTTTGCCTTTCTTCCCTTTGCCTTTGCCTTTGGAGTGCAGGCGGTTGTGCACCTCATAGAAGACATCCTCAATGTGGCCTGCAACAGCCTCCAAGGCATCACTCTCATCCATCACCACGGGAAGCTCCTCATAGAAGGCAAGCTGAGCCTCATGGTTTTCACTCAAAGACATCAGGTCCTCGAAGGGGTCAATGTCGTCAATCTCATAGGCCGTGTAGGTCAGCTCCTCATCCTCCCAATCTTCATCAGCATCTTCGCCCCAGTAGGAGGCGCTTCGCCATCTTCGGGGTGTCGGAGGATGATCAGCATGTTGGTGCTCGTCCAAACGGTCTCCAAAGACCTTTTGAATTGCCTTCTCAAGCTCCTTGAAGTCGATGGAGCCGTTGGTGACAACTTTCAAACGTTGCCTCTGGTCTTGACTGAAAGCTCCTTGGCGCAAAATGAGGTGGCCAAGGAGGTGTCTTCCGGCCGATGTGGCCAACAAATCAAGCCCTTGCTTTTTCAGCTCTGCGAAGGCAGCCTTCTTGTTCGTCAAGAACGTGGTCAAAGAAGTGCCACGATCTCTTCTGCCTTTGAAAATGGCCTCATCAAAGGCCTGCTCGAGCCTCTGGTCCTTCAGGTACTCGTGGGCCTCCTCGATGATGCGCAGGATCTGGCGGTGGCCATTCTCAGCACAAATCTCTTCAACTGTCAAATGAGCCACCAGTGCACTCAGCTTGGATCCAAGGGGGATCGAGTCGATGATCCGCTTGCCAATCAAATTGGTCGGCAATCTGGCCTCAGCTTCAACCAACCAAAGGAGCAGGTTGCGATGATACTCCTTGTACTGCTTTTCGGGCGAATCTCCGCCCCAGCTGGGCGCAGGATCCAACCTGTAGTCAACATGTTTCCGGCCTTCTCGACCTTGGGTTGAGCCAGCCGGAGTCGGAGGTCGAGGAGGTTCCACACCAAGCGCAGCTCTGCTCCACGGATCTGGTTCCTCAGGAATGCCAGGATCGCCGGGCCGTTCTTCGGCAAAAGGTCGTTGGCGATCAGGAGAAGTCGTGGGCATGGCTGCCATCGGTGGCGGAGTCGTGGAGGCCGAAGGCGAACTTATAGATGTAGCTCCGGTTCCTCTCCACGTTCGAGCAGGAGGTGGCATGTCCACCAAACAAAGAAAGGGAAAAGTTCACCAGTCCAAGTGATCTGGTAATCGAAGAACTCAATGATGTAGCGCTCCCAAAACCCTGGGTTGGAACTCCCGGGAAGAGGTCCCGTTGAACTTCAAAGAAATGTCCAGCCGCCGGGGGCGTCCCCCCAAGTCAAAGCCGAACCTCTTCGCGGGAGCCCCCCGGTCGTCACCAGGGGGCTCCGCTACCACTGTAGATCGGGCGGAACGATCAAGCACTTTTCGCCATTGCATCAGAGCTCAAGGCGCCTGTCGTGAGGCGGAGGTTAAGGCCCGGGCCAAAAGGATCAAGCGGATCCAGAGGTGAGTGCAGTGGGGACATGCCGACATGTATGTGGTTTCACACATTGCAATATTACTGGGTCACAATGGTCATGTTGCTCGTTGTACTATTATATAACTTGGCAAACTTAACAAATGAAACATAATGAAACACAAAATAGTTGAAGCTTGTTGCACCCTTCAGGTCAAATTCTGTCCCGATCCAACATGGCCAATGCATCTGGCCGAAGGGCATACTGGGCACCTTGGTCATGGCATCCGACTTCGCATCCTGGGAATTGACTAAGCCACTGGTGGCGAGACCATGACCGCGGGTCCGGTGGTCAGTTGTCAAGACAAGGAAAGTAACTATATCGGCTGCCCTTAATAGATCCATCCATTATAATTAGTCCATATGGGCTGTGTCATTCTATCATGCGTACTAGATTGGGTCGCTATGTAAGTTTGCGGCTCTGCAAGTCTTGGAAAAAGCACTTCGTACACTTCGTTTGGTATCAAGTGAAGTTGCAGCATAGATTGAAATGTTATGGACAACACTGAAGAGGTTGCTTCCAGGGAGGATTTCCGAGCCAAGTTCTAGGCAAGAGGACAAGTTTGCCCAAGGAAACCGCATGTGTATTGCGTTTCAATCTGGTAGAGTCTCCAGGAATCTCTCAGCAAGGAAAACAATTTTTGGATTGTCGAATAGTGACCAACACAATGAGGGATGTCCTGACCTAATAAGCAAATCGCCTATGTATTATTGAATGCAAGAATCAAATTGTATATTGTTAGTCTTATCTTACATTCAAGAATCAAATCTCGCCAGGTTAACAAAACGAAGTGAGTTCAGCCGCCGGACGAGTATAATTTTGCATGATTCAATATGATACCATGTTATATAATCAAAATCCAATACTTGCATCAAACCCATGTGACATGTGAGTCAAATGTCTCACTAGGTGTTCAAGCCCTCGAGTGCCGTCATCGACACTCATACTCATTTGCATGGAATCTAGCGAGCGAAGAGTTCCTTCTTTCCGACCCAAACTGGCAACTACTGGCAGTAGCTGGGAGTTTGGGTATACTTTGCTAGTCCAGTATAGTATAGTCATGTATAGTCACTAGATGTCTCTAGCCAAGTCCCAGTTCCACGGCACACCAAACACACCGGGCACACCGAGGCTCCAGGACTCTGGGCTCGTCCTTCGGCCCAGCCGGACCCAAAGTTGCGCTCGGACTGCGTGGAACGTGGGGGAAGAGACGATGGGCCAAAGAAGCGAGGTGTCGTGCACCTAGCAGCGTCCTTGCTCCTAGTAGCGATGCCCTTTGTTACTTGTGGCGTGCTTGTTCCTAGTAGTAAGGCCAGGAGCCCCTAGTAGTAGCGTCCTTGCTAAACAAGAAAAGGAAGGTAAGGGCCTCAGTAAGGGCCCCTTGAATAAGGGCCCATTGTGCTACTTCAGCTTCTCAAGATCAGTTGCCTGACGTCAACAGCACTAGCAACACTGCTACTGCTACTGGCTACTCCTACTCGTACCTCCCTACTCAGTCTACTGAGCTAGTTGGGGACGAGCTCTGCACACTATATAGCCGCATTTGTCTGCACAAATCCTCATTTGTAATTGCGTGCAAGATGGTACAATGAAGTATCTTAATTAAAAAATATATATATATGTGTATACACATGCCTCTCACAGTTCCGAAAAGAGTGGGGCGCATGTAGCAAATCTTAGGCAACATTAGGCAACCATAATTTCCAAACCAACGATAAAACCAGATCACCCATCCTATAGAACGAGAAACTCTCGTAGCTTGCTACGTCTCCCCACATGTGCCTGAAAGGCACCTGCAAGATCTTCGAGTGGACATCCTCCTCGTAGGTCCGTGGCACCTCAACGAGAATGGCTTCCGCCAAATGTGGCTGCAAAGACCCAAGAGGGTCTCTGAGTCTCTGCACCATGCTTTTCATACAGCCAGAACTGTTGGATAACTTCTCTTGGCCAAGCTATTTTGTGTGGCAGGCGCAATGCTGACTCGAAGCAGTTTGGGTGGATGTACAGCAATCTGGCGAGATTGTGGTGGGCTGTGTGGGAGGTGGCAATGGAGAGTTCTCAGGCTTGTCTGTTCAAGTTTGCGGTTGTCTTCGGATGCTATTTGCTGGTTCTCACGAAAACAATGCCTCAGTTTGCCTTACTTGTTTTGGTTCTCCTCCCTCTTCCTTGCTCCTCCCCATCTTTCCTTCCCTGTTTCCCCTCTCCTTTTGCTTCAAAGATCGAGACGTGCGACTTCTAAGGGACAGTTGAGAACATGCTGAGAACGCCTGAACGCAAGCGAGCCGCAGCATACGTACACGTATAATCGAACAACTGTAGCAATGACAACTCCCCACCAATGAAACCGGTCGTCTGATTCCTTGTTTCACATGGTGAGTAACAATTAGGCGTACCAGAAACATCCAGAAACGCATGTCCCAGCAATGCGCCAAGAAAAAGGCCATCGCTATTAATTGGGTGTTTTCTGGCCATCGTTTTTAGGTTCTTATTCTTATTGTTCAATTCTATTTGGACGACGATGCGCCTTCTCCAATTCCTGGATCTTCTGATCCAGCTGCCGCAAGATGGACCTCTGAGACTCCACGAGCGACGCTCGGAAATGAAGCAGCCCGCTCTTGACTCCTGCCGTGGCCAACGAACCGTCCATGAGCCTAATGATCATGATGACCCAACAAAAAGCACACGGGTCTTTTGAAGAAACAATAACCTTTCATGATTACATGGCAAATTGATCATGTCAACTTGCTGGCAGCGGCATGGCCTTGAATTACAGTAATGTCTTGTGTTTACAAGTGCTTACCTTGTTCCGCGAAAGGATGCTGCTGGTCCTTCAAACCTACATTCACCATCATCCACTACAATCATTCACCTGTATGTATTTTTCCGTTGTCTGGCAAGCCATTTCTGTCCTCTGGGAGACGTTGATGGGGAGTGCGAACGGCTGCGCAGGCTCAAACTGCTCTCGGGGCTGGAAGATTTGCCCTTGGGCCTCGTGTGTCGCAAGCGCCACATCAGGAGGAGCACTTTTGGGGTTTCACCTCCGGATAAGGAAGGAGATGGAAGGAGCCAAGGAGAGAAAGGGTTTCTTTCGCCTATTCTACTCTTGAAAGCATTCGCCTATTCTACTCGCCCACTTTTGCAGCCAAAATGCACATCCTTGCAATGCTTGAATGGTTGTGTGGTTTCGTTGCTTGCTTGCCAAGAGATTTGTGAAGAAGTGTCGTTGCATGTTCGTACGTACGCTGTGCCAAGCGGCGAGCCAGAAAGCTGTCGCTGAAGCAAATCTTGCAATAACAACATTGAATGTTAGCTCCCTGGATTAGTATTGTAATGTCTTGTATGCACTACAAATACATGGTAAAGCCTTTTTGCTGTTCAAATTAATTATGGTCGCTGGCAAAAAGGGGGAAACATTCCAAGAACACCGGATACATATAGAAGGTGTACTGCATAGGGGCTCTTTGATGCTCTTTGCAACTATGATTTTTACACACGATTACGGTAAATTACTTTATTGCAATTATACAGGCTTGTTCTACCCATTGTCATTGTAGAGGGCACCTCATGCAGTCGACTGTCTTGCCCAGTAGCACTGTCAAAGATCCCGGAAGGTCATGAAGTAGTTCATGTCCAGAGTGAGCGGAGTTGCCCGAAATGCGCAGAATCCCAGAAGCCATGGCGCCGTCTTCGACGACTAAATGCTGCACAAAAGGGCGCACGTGACAAGACAATTCTGCAAGGAAACGCCACCGCATGTTCTGTAAGTTCAAAGCAAACGCATCGATTGAATCTTTCCCACATCTGGAACAAATCAGTGTGATTTTGCCCAGGGGAGTGGCAGGAGTCTAGGTGTGGAGGAGTGATGTTGGCATGTTGGGGAGGCAATTCATGGCACTTAGCAAACATGCCATTCCCATCCCCTTGACCGTGTTGAAGAACTTCCACAGGAATGTGTCAACCATAGATCTCTTCGCAACAGCTGAAACACGAACAAGAACAACGAGACTGCCCAAAGCCACAGACTCTGGGACAAATTGAGGTGGGACGAGGGGACACGGACACAGGGCCGGACTCACGAAATCCGGTCGGCTCGAGACCGGCTTTCTGCAAGCTGCAGGCAACAGCTGCACCTTTTTCACGTAGTCGTTGTTTGCCCAGGTCAAGTCCTCGAAAGACGTGGCCCTGGTCATGATCGCCGAATACTTTTGCACAGTCCAAGTGAATCACTGATCATGTCATCACTACTAATTACATAGTTTAACGGTGTTTATCAGTGTTTATGGCATTTCAGGGTTTAGTAGCCCCCAATTCTTCACTTTGAAAAATCCTGAGCCACCGAGGGTCAAGCCTTGACTGTATTGAACCAAAAGGGAAGTTGTCCAAAAGTTCCTCGGATGTCATCACTCATGCCCCCTCCGTCCCACCGCGGGCCACGCCTGCGTGAGGACCCGGCGCTTGCAACCGGCTAACTCCTGAGTGAAGCTTCCCCAGACTCTCTCCTGTTTCATATTCTCAGAATCTCAGAATATAAAGACATGAGCTACTGGCAAGGGTGAAGTAAGCCTGACAACATACTGTACCTTTCAAGAACCGAAAAGATCGTCGTCACCGAGGCTCCAGAACTCTGGGCTCGTCTTTTTGCGGCGAAACCAAAGCACCAGTGACCTGGAATCTGCTGCTATCTGCTGACAGCAATGTTCTTGTTCTAAATGGGCTGTGCGCACACTACCCACACACTCACACACAAATCCCTGCTTGATCCTGCCTGTATCAAGATTATCAAGTTACCAAATATTCTGCTGACTGGGCCTATTTAGCTTCACATTCGAAGAACAAGCCTTGGCACCCATTGTGGGGGGACAAACTGCTGCTTGGCGCATGTTAGTCAGTCCCATTCATAGCTCTGTCCTAAAGCACGAACAAACACAGCTTCTACATGCCCACTGCATTTTGTATCCTGCAGTCTGTCAGGGCGAAAGCGACTTTCAGGGCACTCAAGCGTCTCCGGTGCAGTTCCACCATGTGTGGCATCCACATTTGGTCTTGTCAAAAACCCATGCGGTTGAATTACCTCACTTGGAGAGCGGTCGGAACAAAAAAGGTCCTGTCACGTTTCCACCAATGACTTTGCACGCACCAAGAAATCTTTAAACGTTTGCTTTCAATAAAACGTTTAAAGTGCGAAACGTCCGCCTGCAGGTGAGTTGCCAGAGATGGTGGGCCTCTCGATGAGCATCCAATAGAGATCCGGATTTTCATCTTGGAATTCTGTATAAGCCACCTCGAAGCACTTCTTACCGATGGTCTTTCCCCAACCCAATTGTTGAAGTCTTCATACTCATGCCAGGGCTTCTCAATGGCTTTCTTCCGGCCAAACCTCCACGCCCACTTGCCCTTCTTCACAATTGTTCAAAGCTTCTTCAGGCAGCGATCCAAGGCATGTTGCTTGTCGTGCTTCACCTGATCTGCAAAGGGTTGGTCGGACCAATTCTTCACGCTGAGGCTGCAATCGGCCACGGCACACATCTCGCCCTGCCTTTGTTGGTCCAACACATTGCCAAACATGCTTCATGCGACCATTACACGGACCATCTTACTACAGTATACTACAGAAATTTATATACTGTAATACTGTTGCTTGAAGACATCCTCCGGCCTGATCAAAGAAGGCACCATTGGGTGTGATGGGGCTAGGTATACGACTACCCGATGGAATACTGTAGTCGTCCATTTGCCAAACAAAGCTAGATGTCAAGCAGCTAGACACTATTAGTTTCCTCAAAATCAACGAGCTGAATCATTCATGCTTCTCTGGCGCCTGGTTGCTGCTTGTAAGCTTACCAGCTACTTAAACGACTATAGACTATAGCCTACTATAGCTACTGACCTCTCCACACCCTACCCCACCAAAAAATAGTAACTATATAAATAAATGAGAGCCTGTATATCGCCCAAGCTTCCTGGTTTTGATGACGTGACAGGCTCCATAAAGATATCGTTGGAACGCGCCTGAAGGTGGCACTTGTCCGATTGGCTTAGCAAAATTAAAGCAATCAGTATGACCAAAGAGTTAACAGGAAATGCGCTCCCTACCGTGGTCTTAAAGTGACAACTGTTTGACAGCTGGCCATGGCACCTGCCCATCCGATTGTGGAGCGCGTGTAGTACTTGTCGCACTCCGAGACAGTCGCCTGGCACTCGTGGTATTTGTAGTCGCCACCATGCCAACTGTTCCTGTCTTTGCTGCTCTGGACAAGGAGGCTTATACATAGAAACTAGTTCAAACTTATCCACTTCCGAACACTCTGAAACAAGGAATCTGGAAAGGCTGAAGAGGAGTCACACCCACAGAATCCGCACCAGAATCTGATCTTCTGAGAGGTTCAGTGTATAGGGCACTTCATCTGGCTCAGGTTATCCCAATGTTGAGCCCACAGCAGAAAATTCTTTTAAACTTGGCCCGAGGGTCACGACACTCCTGGTAAACTTTCGCCCGTTGCATGTGCCACCCTCCGTAGGCTCTGAGGAGTCGGTAGTCTGCTCAGGGGCCTCCGTGTCGTCAGTCTTCTGTCTCCAGGGTATCCTTGGGGAGAGAGCTTGAACTGCAAAGTGGGGAGGATGATTTCACATGTGTTTCAGTTTTCTCTGCGGTGGCCAGCAGCGTTTCAGGTGCGCAACATTGTCATCGTATTCACAACATCTGTCATCGGCACAACGTCAACGAAGAGTCGTGTGAAAAAATTGGGAGATGCGCTGCACGCACGCATAATAATTGTCATTATTGTCACAGCATTATCATCTGTCTCACAACATGGTCATACGTGGCGCCAGCGCCACACTGTATGCCAATTAAATTGGCAGCGATCCAGCCAAGTACCTTGACGCCAATAAGGATCGGTCCTGCTTGTTCGGTGTGAGAAAAGCCGGTTCCGCTCGGGCTACCACTTCACAATTCCCTTGTTGCGATTCGCATCTTCAGGATACACGCTTCTGGCGCGTTGTTTTCAGACTTTGTCTGGCCGTGCTTCCTGTTTTATCCAGTCTTTCACTGAGAAAGTAGGTGATCGAAAGGTCTACACTGGATTCACTCACATTTCTTGACCAAAAACTTTCAGTCTGTCTACAGGCAAGGTCTCGGTCTGCTAAGCAATGCTCTTCGTGTTGGGGTCTCCGACGCCAGCGCGCATGGCCATCACCTCACTGGCTCGCAGCCCCAACAAGAAAGTCGTTCTTTCCTGACAAAAAGATCTGACCTTGTTTTCATCTTGGATTGGTGCTAAACAACTACCCTTCTTCCAGCCTCGCTTGGTGAGTGACCCGCCAAAAGAATGTTGCAAACAAACTGCTTTCCCACTCGAACCCGGCTGTCCATTATACAAATCACAACCTCCCTAAGGATGAAAACACAATTTTGGAAGCCACAATTCCTGCAACTTTGGTTTCCTATTCTCCAGTCGAGTACTATCTACAGTACAATATATTACAATATAAGATTAACAATAATAACAATAATCTATTATAGTCTAATTGTGACTAATACAGTGACACCTGCGCAATGAATGGCGGAGGATTTGTGGGACTGTGACGGCAACCCGAACAAACTGATCGATGTTGCTTAGAACGAGGGGGGGCAAAAGGGAGAAGGGGCTATCTCTGACTTGTAACAAGGGCACTACTACAAGTAGCAAGAAGCTACTAGTAGCAAGGTGCTTTACACTATATAGTAGCTTGTTACTACTAGTAAGGCTCCTTGCTACTACCCGCAAAGCTCTACAGGTTGATTCTGACACTTGCCACGTGAGACACACAGTAGACGGTGCCGCTGAGTAGGAGCAGCTTTGCCATGGAAGCAAATCAGCCAACGACGCAAACTTGGAAACGGGACAGCGGATGACTTGAGCGGACAGAATGCACAAGGCATTTTGCTATAATATATACCGGGGGTCGTGTATCGTGGCAATTATGACAAAGGCCATCTGCAAATATACCCTCCTCCTTGAACTGTGAAATCTATTGTGGTTTGAAGTCAGGCAAGAAACTTCTGTTCACTGTCTCTTTCATAATCTTCACGAGTGCCGCATGTGCATGGACTTCAACAAAAATAATCAATCAATGGAAAGTTCTTTTTGTCGAACTGACTCTTCTGCCCAGTCCCTTTTCGACACCGCAGGCCTGCGACAGACCGAGGCTACACTGCATGCGGCCAACTCCTAGGTGAAGTCTCTGAGTGTCTGCGATTCCAAAGCAATCTATCATGTTGATTCATGCTGATGATGAAGTATAATATATGTGGCCGGGCCCAACTCAAAAAAGAATTGCAAGGTGCGTAAATAGGAGGTTGGGGAAGCAATCCGATGAAAGCTGCCATTCTTTGCAGCCAGCAGAACACTCAGGCCCGTCGTTCACAGGGCACGTGTTGTTTTGTCAACTTCTGGAGCATGCCTCCTCAAGGCTCTTTGTTCAAATCACAAGCGCAATGTTTTCTTTAGTTATATAAGGAGGCTTGCAAAAGTAATATATACTGTAATTGGGATTTGAGCCGGGAGTTCTGAGGAGGGTTCATAGTTGCATCGTGCTAATCTTTGGGAGCAATGGCCACCTAGAAACACCCAGATGAGTCGCTGAGACAAGGTTGTGATTCCTGTATTGGTGTGATTCCTGCCCCTCCTCTCCTTCGACTCCTACAAGAACTGCAAAGAGACCAACTCACCATGGCGTGGCGCTTGCCCAGCTCCTTGTGTGGAGGTAGATCCGGTTGGTCAACCAGGCAATGGGAATGACACCTGGGATTTGCATCAATTGCCTCGAAAGCAAAGCCTCCCATTCAAAGGGAACTAAATTGACTATAAGTTTTTAGCTATACTAAGCATCAAATGCCAAATTCCAAAGCATCTTCAGCAAAACAATCAGCAATCTCTTTCAGGAAATCCAACGCCTCTGTAGCTCATTCGCCTGCACATGATGAGCGGGTTTTTGTTTGAATCTGGCAACACCCTCCAGTAACTGGGCGTTGCTTGTCTTGACCTGCAGACCCTAGGTACTTGAGCATCAATGGCCCAATGGCCCTCAATTAGGATAGTTGGCATAGTCAGGCAGGATCGGACGGATCAGAATGCCGAGAAATGATGGACTTCGACTTCAACATAGTGTTTCTTCAGCGCGATGGACAAGCATGAGTGCCCGTCTGGGG